CTCAAAGCAACGTTGAACACTGTTCAATAACTGCAGTTTGAATTTAGTTTAAGGTCCCTTGTTACTAATGGCCAAGTTTGATTTGAAAGCATTTACAGGAAGTATTTCCATGTGATGAATCCCATTTTCTTTAATTTAATTCTTCTCTATTCTATAGAAGACAAAACTGGGAGTTTTTCTCTTGACTTCGTTGTCATTAGGAGGCTAAAATGTTCTCTGCAGAACTAGAAGACAGTTTCTACTTTTCGCCACTAGAGGACGCCAACTCACCTTGCTCGTTCATATTCAAGCAACGAAAACGCATGGCCTCTGTAGCTAGCTGGGTTTAGCCACTTGACTCCATACAATTGTGTTAGTCAGTGTTAGATTAAATACATTTTAACCGTGCATTAGCTAGATATTAAAATAAAACCACTGATGGAGTGAGTTTGCTAATGGCTCACAGCTTTTTACTTTGAAAAAATTTACAATAAGTATTTATACTAAGTAATAAGCATAAATTCATTTGTCTCCTTAAAAATAATCCCTAGAAGACTAATACACTTTTTTTCTGGCTTGACTGAGAAGGACAACTACAACTACCCCTGACTGCATCCCGGAGATCGGGGCGGGGCTAAATGTGGGCGGGGTCAAACGTTTAGAGGTGGGCGGAGACAACTATTTGACTCCTGCGTCCTGCCCATATGTACAGTCTATGGTCCTGCCCCACTCTCAATGGAACCAGGAAACCGCTATGCTATATGTGTGTGTGCAATGCAGTGACAGGTGTCGGGACAGAGGGAAGTAGCTGCCAAAATGGAGGTAAGCTAGGATTTTTCTTTCTCTGTTTTAACAATATCAAGGACCAATGTTGGGCGAACGTTTTATAAACTTGGAAATTAAAGGTTTTTTTCCCATTATGAGTTTTAGATGATACATATAGCCTATTTTACACATGCGGGGCGACTTACTTTTGAGGAGAAATGTTTACAGGGTTCCCACGGAGTCTTAATGAATTTATGAATTTGAAAGTAATACCTTTAAAAGACTGGCGAAACCCTTCAATTTTGGCATCTGGGTCTTAAAATTTGTGTTGGATGTAAGTTTTCTGTACTGCATTTTTCTTCTGAAGTTCATCAAAATATTCCAAACAAGTGATGACATGAAGAGAAGCACTATTTTTAGACATTTATTTCAATTTTGTGTCTTTACTGTTTGCACTGTTGCTTTTATACAATAGAAATACTGCAAGAAATTAGGGTAATAAAATTAGCAATTATAAAAAAAATGTCTTAAAATTAAACTAAAATATAGGCAACAAAAATTATTAAGGTTCTAATGTCAAACCAGATCGGTTATATTTTTAACCATTTGTTTAAAAATATAACCGATCTTCTACCAAGTGCCCACCCAGTGTTTTGTCAAAATATATTGGTAAAGTTGTATAGATAAATAAATGAAATTAGTTCAATAATTTTATTTTATTTATTTACTTTTTTGCTGATAGTGCTGTGAAATAGGTATTAATTTTCCATATGGCTTTAGAAAGATCTTAAACAGACTTAAATTTAAGTTGAAGAAACCTGTAGGAACACTTTTATAGCTTTGGGGAGATATGTTGTGTAGTCATGATTACTTTTTGGTGGAAAATATATTTTACAGGGGGAAATGTTAGTTTTTTAAGCTTTTTATGTTCGTATCTGAGTTCTACACCTGATGGGCTTTATTATTATGGTTAGAGTGCTAATCTGATGTGTGTAATTATATAAACGTTTTGCTCAGTCAAGTGTCAACAGAATAACATGAATGTTTTCATAGTGAATGAATGTTGTCATTGTATCACCAAGGTCTGAGGAAGACAGGGTGCAGGCACGAAAAAGACGGAGAGAGGAAAGAGTAAAACAGGTGAGAGACAATTTGATTATTTCTTGTAGTTTAACTGTTGCTTGCAGACTGAAGCATAATTCCTTCACTTATTTCAGGGCCTGGAAGTGGTCCCTCCTAAGAAGTCCTGCCTTACTGAATGAGTCTGTGCAGCATCAGGTATTGTTCAAACAAGTATTATTGTACACAACCCCCTAGGTTGTCGAAATGGGATGTGGGAAGATTCAAGATTCAACCTTTTGTCATATGCACAGCTAGAAAAACACACTTTCTGCACAATGAAATTCTTACTTTGCCAAGATTAGAAAATTAAGACCGTTCCAGACAGATCACTTTTTTTTCAAAGCAAGTTTTTCAGTCATTTCTCTATTTTCATTAAACCAGAATACTAAGCAACTGATCTTTTTTACAACTTGCATCGTTAATATGCTTTTTATGAACCACAATCTTTTTCCTTTCTAGCAGAGGCTGAGAACTTGCTGGAACTGGACTTTTCTTGTGTCATTGTTTCTTCTCCAACCTCTATTTTAATTAGAGGTGTCAAATAATTCCATTACTTGCATTTAATTTTTTACAGCCATGATTAACGTGTTATATATTTTAATTATGTTTATCATTTTTAATCTACTGCTTCTTTATGGGACTTTTAAATAAACCAATTTCTTTTCTTGTTCTTGAAGGGTTGATGTAAACTCATAAATTGAATGGTTGACGTTACAGTGACAAGACCGGTGAGAGATTAGCTGCAGCAGTGTTTATTTCAGCGACCTTGTTATCTTTACTGTTTTTTCACCCTTCTTGCAACTTTTTCCAAAGTTATTGTTACCATTTGGATGTAATGGGTGTGTCGCTGAGCATCAAGGCTGCTGACAGCTTCTCTCCTGTATCAGACGCACATCCGTGCTGCAGTTTGGAAAGACCACAGCATCAGCTGTTTGGCTAGCTGTTAGCATTGAAAATAAGGCTTATATTATGTACAGTTATTAGATTAAATTGAAAGATTAGATTACTTTCAGATCATACATAATTAATGTAAAATATGTTTTTAATCTCTTGACAGCAGTAATTTTAATATTGTCTTTATTTTTGATTAGGAGAATTATCTGCTTGAGGACACCTTTGAGGCAGCAAGGTGGTGTACCACAAGGTCCTTCAAAGGAAGCCTTTCCCTTCCCCAGGTCATCACCATGGACAGGGAAGCTTGCCGGAGGGCAGTGGAGAGGTTATGCTTCTGTGATGGCCTGGATGAAGAGGAGATGAACGATTGCAGGGAACCGTTCCTGTTCATGTTTAGTTTTCAGTCAGACTATGAGGAGTTCTGCAGAGAAATTGAGGAAAAAAGGAAGATGAAGGTGTTTTCTGGTTTTGAAATGCCATAGTACAGCGGTGTCACAGTTTTTGCATTCTTTTTCCTCCTCACATTGTTTTTTTGGAGGTTCTCTTGTTTTTTGTGTGCTTTTTGGTTCATTTGTTTGTACTTTTTTTTTATTCCTGTGTTGGCTGTTGTTTGCTCTATTAAATTTACCTTTTTTGAAAAATTTAGTCTGCATTCTTGGGTGTCTCACACAATGTCTCACCACCCCGCCTCAAACCCTGGCATGTTTTAAGAAGTATCAACACAATTTAAGTCTCTGTTCCTCTTAATGTAGCTGATATAACGGAGTGTACAACAAATTTACCCGTGTCTGTCTATACTGTTTTACACTCACTTGGGAAATGACTATTAAAATAAAGGCAGCATTGATAAAATCAACTATTAAAATGGTTTTGACAGGTTCAAAGAATAGTCTTATAAATGCTTGAACCTTTTATAGAGGTACCAAAAGTATAGCTAAAAGACACAAATACCTATGTGCTATAAATACACATACCATACAAAAGTAGAAAAAAGAATAAAAATATCAGAACAGATTGGATCAAAAATGGCGCCTGTAATTATCTGCTCTTTAAAATTATCATGACATCCAGCAAACAAGTCATTTGATTACCAATGTTATGCTTTACATGGGTTTTGTGGGTTTTTAGGGCTTTCTAATCCTTAGAAAGGGGCTACTCGCAGTTTCCTGGTTCCATTGAGAGAGGGGCAGGAGTCAAATAGTTGTCTCCACCCACCTCTAAACGTTTAACCCCGCCCACATTTAGCCCCGCCCCGATCTCCGGGATGCAGCCAGGGGCTACTCGATAAGGAGGTTAAAATGTTTTTCCCAAAACTGGACAGTTTCAACTTCTCGCCACTGGAGGACGCCAACTCACCGTGCTCGTTCACTGTTAGAAAAGTAGTTAACATTTTACTTGTTTTTCACTAAGAGAATAAAACACTGTTAAGAGTGAAGTCCCCTGTTGCTAATGGCAAGATGCCATAGCGTTTTATTTTAAAGAATTTATTTCTACTAAGTCATAATTGTAAATGCCTACTTCTTTGTAACTATTATTTTTTTTTCAGAACATGCGTACTCAAATTGAAGAAAATATTTTGAAGAGTTTTTTTGCGACGGTTTTATGAGCAAATAACAAATTTTCTGATGCAGATGACTCTTCAAACTGCCTCTGGAGACGGAGAGATTAGTCACAGTTGAGCTTGTTCAAACATGGTCTTCTGTCATTACAATAACTCTAATCTTTAGTCTTACAGTGTTAAGCGTTTTTAGCATCTAAACCTTTAAACTGTCATGCATGGATATTAACATGGAATAATCACAGCAGAAGTAGAGTTTTATGTGAACTGTAACTCTGATATGTTTGTGATCATTTCAACATTTTATTGCTTCATATCTATTTCTACCACGTGGGTAACATTTGTAACTATATCTAGTTCAAATATGCCCCCCAAAAAGTGGTTCTATAAAATTCTGCTTTAGAGATGAAGTTTCACCAAACACATTTATTTTATTTTATTTTATTTTATTTTATTTTATTTTATTTTATTTTATTTTATTTTATTTTATTTTATTTTATTTTATTTTATTTTATTTTATTTTATTTTTCGAGCAGCGTCTCCTATTTTAACCACTAGGTGGTAGTAAAGCTCTACTGTGTTTCCTGTTCAACCACTAGACGGCAGCATCGTTCACTAACTACTGTTAAAAAACATAGAGGAAGAATAGTTGCAGCTGGGGTTGGTGTTTTGCTCTGTGGGGCCGAGTGGGGGGGGCGTTCAGCTGATGGTGCGACTGTCCTTGAGATATGACTGCCCGAGAGTTTTCCATCTTTATTCCCGGAATAGTCAAAGGCTTCATCGCGTTTTTCTGACAAGATGTTGGGATTATTTGTCAGAGCTTTGGTGAGATTGTTGTTTGTGGTTAAGCGTGTTTCAGTGCGTAAATGTTTGGTGTTTACAAAATCAAATCGAGCCAGGGGGGACGCCGCAGGATAACAACACTGTTGTGAGAGATCAGGACAAGACAAAGTTCAAGCTGTGGAAATATTTGTATTTTGCTTCTGAAGCGTTTATTTCCGCGTCACATATATGTGTCATTTTGCACAAATGTTTGCTAAATATGTTTAAAGCGAATCAGTGTCGGTAAAGACGACAGCTGCAGATTCGGCAGTTAAGTGCACCCATTAATAGTATACACCTATAATAGATTGTCTTTATATTGTCAGTGACACTTCAGTGAAAACCTTGCAATAGGCGCACAGTAATTTTATTTTGAAAATAACCCCGGAAGTGTATTTTTATGAGCTAAATGAAAATTGAACATCTGTACCCAATTTTTATATTTAGACATCATGTCTGCACTAATTGTTTTCATACAGTTGGGCCAAGTTAAAGTAATAATTATAATTTAAATTAATTAGTTAATACATTAGTGATTGATTTAATATTAAAGCCCTCACGTAAACACGAGAGCACATGTGGATTTTGTGCTTTCATGTATGTTTGTTTTTGCCACCATCTCTCAGGTTCAGCAGTGTCAGCCTTCTATTTATAGGCTGCTTAATGGTGGCTCCAGACAAATGCTGGAACCGCTTCATTCAGAGGCTTCGGTATCACATTTCAATCTTAAATATCTAACGATAACAAACAAGTATTTGTAAATAATTAAGTATGTTGTTCACAACTTGTAGGCCAGGTCTTATTTCAGCTCATTTTGCTCTTAAGCCTCACCTTTCTAAGCTTAGATAAACACAAGCATCGACCCGTTGACACCTTTGATCTTTACTGTGCCTGGCTTCACCTTACTAACTAGTTTAACTAGATTACAAGAGAGATGGAATTTCAGTTATCACTCAGCTTAAATGAATGACATAATAGATGTGTGATCATGTAATAAACATTTGATTTGATGTGTAAATATCTATAATTTCTTCCTTTACTGTTTTCCCTTTAGCCGAGGCCAGGCACTACAAATCCATGCCGCATGCTCAGACCAGTAACGCAGATCCCAGAGCGTTCCTTTGCTCATCAAGAGGGTCTGCCTAAGCTGCCCGTTCCACCCTTGAGGCAAACTTGTGAACGCTACCTAGCCACACTGGAGCCCATTGTCAGCAAAGAAGAGCTGGAACACACCCGCCAGCTGGTGCAGGAGTTCCTGAAAGGTGGAGTGGGAGAAAGGCTCCAGAAAGGGCTGGAGAGACGGGCACGAAAGACGGATAACTGGGTAAGTATTTGGCTTTATGGAGCAACACACTCCGGTAAATCACTTCAGTGTTTTTTTACTCCTGGTGTCTGTGTAGCTGTCAGAGTGGTGGGTGCAGTCGGCATATCTGGACTCCAGAATGCCGGTGGCGGTCTACACCAGCCCTGGGGTGGTGCTGCCTCGGATGCATTTTGAAGATCGGCAAGGGCAGATGAGGTAAGAAAAACGATTTACAAAACAAACCACAGTTACAATCCTTAACTGTTTTAAGGTATTTGCTGTTGTTAAATAAGGGCCTGATTCCCAGTGCAGCCATAAAACTCATTCACTTTTTGCACAGATCCCAAATTAACAAGCTCTCATGCTGAAGTTTGGAGCTGACTCTTGCAAAGTACCCCCCCCCCCCCCCCCTCCCCCCACTGGTTATTTACAGCTCTTCCACAGCTCATACTGTTGCTCAGCTGTTCTTAACTGCTGCGACACAAGGCTGTAATAGTCCACAAAGTCACAAAGCTGGTAAAAATCTGAACCACGATCCGTTAAATATAGTAAGAACTGTGGTATAGTGAAGCCAATGCTTGACTTACTTGGTTTACTCGGACATTTAGGTGTGTATTTGGAGATAATTTATGATAACTGGATAATGAATGTTATGTTGAATCATTTGAATAACAAAGTCACTATTTTCCTTCCACAGGTTTGCTGCCAAACTAATAGCAGGAGTTTTGGACTTTAAAAAACTGATTGACTCGTAGGTTTTTATGGAATTACTATGAATAAGATAACTTTATGATCTCATTGACATTATTTTAACTTGGTTTACAAGACTGTTACAACACTTTGTTATGCTACTGAATCCTAGTGAAAACCTTCCTGTTGAGTACTTGAGTGGGAAGCCGCTGTGCATGGACCAGTATTACAAGATTCTGTGCTCCTGCCGTATTCCTGGACCAAAGAGAGACACTGTAGTGCATTACACACACGGGAAGATGGCTCCTACTCACATCACGGTGGTCCACAACTTTCAGGTACACTACATGACCGTGAAGCTAATTTTTTAAATATGAATTAAAGCGTGGATGCTTAATTTTATAAATGTATTATCAATTATCAATCGCTGGTAAAATAACCCTTAGGTGTGTTGTAAAACTAACTTGGCTTTTCTCTCCCAGTTCTTTGTCTTGGATGTCTATAACAGCGACGGCACCCCGCTGACGGTAGACCAGATTTACATGCAGCTGGAGAAGGTCTTGAATTCTTCTCTGCAAGCTAATAAGGAACCAATTGGCATCCTTACATCACAGCACCGCAACACCTGGGGAAAAGCCTACAGCAACTTGATCAAGGGTGAGCAGAGAAGCAGAAAAACCTCTGTTTGCAATTTATTTGGTTTTAAAGCATCGCTGAGATAAAAAAAAATAAACTTCATCCCATGTACTTTGTTTGGCCCTCAGACAAAACAAATAAGGAATCAGTCCGTGCCATCCAGAAGAGTATCTTTACAGTCTGTTTAGATGCTCCGATGCCTCGGGTGTCAGATGAGCTGTACTTGAGTCGCGTTGCTGCCCAGATGCTACATGGAGGAGGAGCACGGTGGAACAGTGGCAACCGCTGGTTTGATAAGACCTTGCAGGTCAGTTTGAGGAAATAGACCAACTTCGCATTTAATACGACAAAACAGGAGTCCTGGCTGCAGTTGAGAATTTGTATGTACTTGCTGAACGTCCTCAGTTCATTGTTGGTGAGGATGGTACATGTGGACTGGTGTATGAGCATGCACCTGCTGAGGGTCCACCCATTGTGTTTCTCATCGATTACGTAGTTAAATACATGTAAGTTTCTCTCTGAACACTGCTTTTCCTATTTTTACCTAAACCTTTACTGAAAAAGAGCCTCGTGTCGTTTTTAACAGGAGGAATATAGAAATGCTTCGCTCTCCCATGGTTCCTTTGGCCATGCCTCAGAAACTGAGATTCAACATCACATCTGAAATCAAGAGAGACATCGAAAAAGCCAAACAAAACATGAACATGTAAGCAAAGTCCTGATGTTTGTTTTCAGTTTTTGGTTGTTTTACTTTTGACTCCCTGTTGTGTGTGTTGACAGAATGGTGCATGACCTGGATGTGAAGGTGCTGATGTTTTCTCATTTTGGGAAAAACTTGCCAAAGCAACACAGTTTGAGTCCAGATGCCTTTGTGCAAATGGCTCTACAACTTGCCTACTTCAGGTGAGAAAGCTTACAGCAGTAGAAGCCTTCCTGGAGGCTGACGTGGGCGGGATGTTTTAGCCATTTATAAAATATAGATATAGTCATTGTAGAAAACTTTCTGAACAGCCTCTGTTCAGAAAAATAGTGTTTACATCCAACAGGACTGATGAGCTAACAACTAAATATCACATAGATTAATTTAACTTTTATTTTATAATATTTACACTACAGCCAAGTTGAAGTCCCTGCTAGCCTCAGCATCTGGGTGCATCTGTAATACAGTGAAGACAAAAATAGTTGAAATCCTCCGATTGTGCACATTGTTCCACTTAAAAAGAAGAGAGGTCTGTAATGTTCATCATTGGTATGCTTTAAAGGTGTTGAACAGTCATTAAGTCAATACATTGACATTAATTGACTTTAACATCCACGTTGATGATCCCTCTGATCACTTTGCCTTGAATTTCTCCAGCCTTATGGACTCCTTCAGCTTTACCCAGCATGTTTCTGGCCCCACACACACCAGGGGGCACACTCCAGACCTTGTTTTTACCCTGAGTTTAAATGCTGACAGTGCTTGTCCTGAGGACGTTTATATTTAAGATCACCACTGCATTTTCTTTAACTTGCTAGTTTCTGTGTCCCCACCTCCTGCTCGCCGTATGGTTAGTTCTCGTTTTCTTAATGAGAGCACAGCTAGCAATTTTTCTGCTGCTTTTGATCCACCCTGTTCTTCTAATAACAACCCAGATTCCTTAACTTCTCAGTTTAACGAGCACTACCTCTCCATTCTGGACAACATCTATCCTGTCAGAACCAGATCAGTTCCTGCAGTGAACCCTACTCCCTGGTTTAATGACAGCCTTCGCAGCCTGAAGCACCAATGCAGAAAAATTGAGCGTTTGTGGAAGAAAACCCATCTCCATGTCCATCTGCTGCACCTAAAGGATCTTCTGACATCCTTTAACTCTGCAGTCAGAGACACCAGGGGTTCCTATTTTTCCAACCTGGTGTCCAAGAGCAAAGGGAACCCCAAGGTGCTGTTTAACACCATCAGCAGTATCGTCTCTCCTGCCTCTCCTACAGCCTCCATCCACTCTGTTGCAGACTGTGAGAACTTTCTGTCTTTCTTTGTGGACAAAGTCAATAAGGTTAGATCTAGCATCTCTCCTTCAGCCTTATCGCTGCCTCTCCCGACTCCAACCAGGCCCGTCATCCTAGATAGCTTTGCTCCTGTTTCTTTGCCTGAGTTAACCAAACTAGTTAACTCTATGAAGACCTCTGCATGCCCCCTCGACATCTTACCCTCATCTTTGTTTAAAAGTGCTTTTCAGTCCATCGGTCCCAGAGTGCTCTTTATAATTAATGCTTCTCTGGTTTCTGGTCAGGTCCCTGCTTACTTTAAGAATGCTGTAATCCACCCGCTTCTTAAAAAACTGAGTCTTGACCCCTCTCTCCATAGCAGCTTCAGGCCCATCTCTAAACTTCCGTTCATCTCCAAGATCTTGGAAAAGGTCGTGGCCAAACAACTCACAGCTGCTCTTGATGAACATAACATCTATGATAGCTTCCAGTCAGGTTTTCGTAGAACTCATTCTACTGAAACAGCTGCTCTGGAGTGGTTCTCCTCTTATCTCTCTGAGCGCTCCTTTTCTGTGGCCGTCTCCAAGTTTAGGTCCTCCACCACCTCTCTTACCCATGGTGTACCACAAGGTTCTGTGCTGGGGCCTCTGCTCTTCCTCCTCTATCTGCTCCCTCTTCAGCACATCCTGAGCTCCTTCAAAGGGATCTCCTACCATCTTTATGCAGATGACATCCAACTGTACATCTCCTTTAAGCCCCATGAGATGTCTAAGCTGCAGCTGTTACACACCTGCTTAGACTCTATCAAAACCTGGATGGCTGGGAGCTTTCTTCAGCTGAATGAAGATAAGACTGAGATCCTCATCTGTGCCCCAGACAAGCTGGTTCCCAAAGTCAGAGACTCTCTTGGTCAGCTTGCTTCTCATACCAAACCTTCCGTCAGGAATCTTGGCGTGACCTTTGACCCAGCTCTCACCCTGGATTCTCATGTCAGTTCTCTTGTTCGCTCTTCCTTCTTCCATCTCAGGAACGTTGCTAAGCTGAGTCCCATTCTGTCCCGCTCTGAACTTGAGACTGTTATCCACACCTTCATCTCCTTAGACTACCTCTCTTTTCACGTGTCTGAGCAGAACCTCCCTGAACCGTCTACAGGTGGTTCAGAATGCCTGTGCTCGGCTTCTGACCAAGTCCTCCAAACACACCCACATCACCCCGCTTCTCCTCCAGCTTCACTGGCTGCCAGTCAACTTCAGGGTTCATTTCAAGATCCTGGTTCTGGTCTATAAGGCCCTACATGGACAAGCACCATCTTACATTGGTGATCTTCTTAGTCCCTACACCCCCAGCAGGTCCCTGAGGTCCAGTGATCAAAGCCTACTGGTTGTGCAGCACCAGGCTAAAGACCAAAGGTGACAGATCATTTGCTGCTGTGGCCCCCAGACTCTGGAACTCTCTCCCCCTGAGCCTGAGATCAGTGGACTCAGTGGACTCCTTTAAAAAACAGCTGAAGACTCACTTGTTCAAGCTGGCTTTTGTATGACCTTCTTCACCACTCTCTCTTTGTTCTGCTCTCCCCACCTATTCCACCTTCCTCAGGATCCACTGATTTCCCTCTTTCCTATTCACTCTCTCTCTTTCTTAACATCTTTTTTATCACAATAGTCTATTTTTTTGCTCATTTTAAATATATTTTTAACCATTTTCTAAATTATTTTTTATATTTTTACATTTTTTGTTTTTGTGAAGCACCTCATGATTTTTTATCTTGAGAGGTGCTATAGAAATGATATTTTCTTCTTCTTCTTCTTCTTCTTCTTCTTCTTCTTCTTCTTCTTCTTCTTCTTCTTCTTCTTCTTCTTCCTCTTCCTCTTCCTCTTCTTCTTCTACCTTTGCAGTGGGCCCTAGTAGGAATGAATGCCTAGCAAGGGGGCGTCTGTATCAGCACGTAAAATTAAGCCAGAGGAGAAAGTAGCTTCAGACCGCAGGATTTGAAGTCCTATTTCCTGATATTTACACATCTTGCCTCTGATTGACTAACAGCAATGTGACTCTACCACTGACTCTGTTTGCTCTGCGTCGTTGATGATCTCCACAAATAACACAAGCCTGAAGGAGTTCTGCTTTGTGGCGGAGCTGCTAGTGCTAACAGTTAGCTTCTGCTAGTCGAGACATTCTCTGCTGTTTCTTGGACGCTAAACCAACGGCAGCCTTCCTCGTCGCAAGTCAAGATGGGACAGTCCATGAATGTTAAGTGACGGTGTGACGTAGATCTGTCAGGCTTTTCTAATCCTAGCATTTCGCTGTCTATTTTCTATCAGAAGCTAATGCAGGAGCGAGGTGTAGGAGACTATTTTCATGTCCAGCCTGCATGAAAAACTCAGTGACTGATCCTAATCAGAAATGATAACTAAAAAAATGGGTTTTCAGTGTTCCTCACCTTAACTGAGCAGCTCAGTGACCTAGTGGTAGAGTGCCCACCCTGAGACTGGGAGATCAAATCCCTGTCGGGTCATACCAAAGCCTTTATAAAAATGGGACCCAATGCCTCCCTGCTTCACACTCAGCTGGGTTGGATTGGTGAGGGTTAAACCACCAAATAGATCCCGAGCGCGGCCGTGTCTGCAGCCCACAGCTCCCCACGGGTATGGGTCAAATGCGAAGGACAGTTGTCACCACACCAGTGTGTGGTGACAACTATGGGACATTAATCTTTTTAGTGATAATTTTTATTAAAGATGTAAACACACGTTCTCAGCTACATCCAGATTAGCCAGACACCGTTTTCCTGAACAGAGGCCATTCAGGAATCTATCCATAAGATAAGATCATCTTTTTTTTTTTTTATAACTTTTATTTTCAGTTCTCTGTTGCTAGCATTAGCTGGCTTGCTAAATTGCTGTATGCTTGCGTAGGTACATTTCTTTAGGAATTGTGCCAGAAAAAGTGCCAACAACAGGTTGAAAACATAAAACTCTTGGGAATCAGCATTGAGCATTCCTGTTTTGTGGAGGTCTGTCTTAGGAGTGAAGCTTTAAAAAGGGAGGTTGGACTTTTGAATAGTGTATTTTCAATAAGTTGCTTGCTTAAATGACAAGTAAAACATCTTTCATGTTCATTTTTTCACTTTAGGATGTATAATATTTGCTGCTCCACTTATGAGAGTGCCTCACTGAGAATGTTTAAATACGGGAGAACAGATGCAATCCGTTCCACTACTGTAGACTCTCTCGGCTTTGTCCAGGCAATGCAAGATCCAACCAAGCAGGTAAAGATGAACCTCGAGTGTTGCATAATAAATGTTGATAAGTGTGAGATGGTTTAGTGAGCGATGAATGTTTCCAACAGAACACTGAGAGGCTGGCTCTGCTGCAAAAGGCGGTTCAGACACATAAAGAAAACACTTACAATGTGAGAATCTGATTTTTAAAATTACTGTTTGTTTACTTAAACAATAGAAATGTCTCATCCACATGTAACCTTTGGTTTTTAGGCGATTCATGGACAGGCCATAGACAGACATCTGCTTGGGCTGAGGATGCAGAGCATTGTGGACCTGACCTCCATGCCTGGGATATTCATGGATACTTCCTATGCAGTAGCTCATCATTTTAATCTCTCCACGAGCCAGGTATATTTGCATTTCTATGAAAGCCAGCAGCTTATCATCACCTAGCAAATGATTGTTTACACATTTATTTATTTACTTGCATATTTACTCTCTCGCATCTCAAAATCCAGGTTGGCTCCAAGACAGACTGCGTCATGTGCTTCGGTCCAATGGTGCCAGATGGCTACGGAGTGTGTTACAATCCCATGGATGAGCATATCAACATTGCCATCACTGCCTTCAACAGCTGTGAGGAGACAAACGCTGCCAGCTTTGCCCAGGCTGTGGAGGACGCACTGTTGGACATGAGAGCTCTCCTGGAAGACACGGCCAGGACCAGACAGTGATCCCACACATGAGCCCGGTCGCGTCTGGAGGTCGAAACTGAATCAAGTTGTTGCCAGCGAAGTTGGCAGAATGCCACACTGGCAAAGATGCAAAGTGTTCTAAGTGGAAACCTGTTACTGCACAGTTTGGTGGAAATGCACAATGTGTGAATGTCAAAGCACTGTTTATAAGAGGAGAAAATATCTATAGTTAAAAATAAATATTTAAGATTATTGTAAAATAACTGAAAGAGAACAGATAGTTTTTCCTGTTTCCATACTTAAGCAGATTTTAGTGGCTTGTATGTTATATATTTCAGGTCAGAGCATTTAGCACACACTGCAGGTAAGTAAATTATTGAAGATATTTTTTACAGAATAGAATAAACGTTCATTTAACTATTGTGAATATTACACAAACTGACTCGTATAGTTCATCTCTTGGATCCAAGATGCACAAAGGAATATTGAGCTCTGAATGTCCCTTTGGTATGCAGGTAGTCACCATGAAATTCAATCTCAGCCATATTTCCAGAGGAGTGCCACTGGAACAGCTGTGGACCGTTAAACACGTTGGTCTTCAGGACATCCATGTCCCGGATCTGAACAAGAACAACAACAAAAAAAAAAGAATAATGCAGCAGTGAGTCCTCTTATAAACTCCCCTTCTGGCATTGCAGCACATTAAAACACAGCTTTTACGCACCATTATATATGTAGACTGGGAATTGGTGGCATTGAATACTAATCCTATGTGCAGTGCTTGGATTCTGATTTTCACTGAGGGAGGGGCGTTGATGAGTACCCGGCAGGAGTGGTTGGAGTTCAGCCTTACCGGATTCTCAAAAATGCCCCTGGGGGCAAATAGCTGAATATCACAATCTGTTGGGCAAACAGAGCTGTTACAGCTTTGCAAAATATCACACATGCAGTCAAACCCACTGTCATATATGTGGGAAATGAAAAAGGTGGGGCATTGTCACTAGCAGATTCTGTGCTGTGGTAATCTGTCTGCTTTAATACACTTTGCTGTGTTAATACCAAGGATTAGGCCCATCCCAGTCAGCAGGGCGGAGATGTGTGGGAGGGAAACGACACGTGATCGCATTTGACTGTCAAGTCATCTGTAGATTCACTTCATTCATTGATATCAATTTTTTAGAGCATCAAACTTTATGGAACAGTTCGTGATGATAAAACTAGAAGCTGTCATACCATAATGGAGGCTCCTCTTCATGTTCTTCTGTGAGCTGTAGGTAAACACAACTCCATTCCCAGGAGTGAACACATTTTGCCGCACAAGCAGAACGTTGGTTCTGCTGGTAAGTTGACTATCTGCCACCTGCGCACACTTCCTCACAAAAGCCAGACGGTCAAAAAAAGCCACGTACTCCTCTGGAACAACACAACAGGTTTATAAATAGCAACACAAATCTTGGGAAGCACTTCCTATCAAACATACTTTTCTTGCAGTCCAAGGAGCTAGACAGGATTTTCACATGGATGATCTCATCCAGGGGTCGACCTATGGATACGGTGCATCTTCTGTTTACACCTTGCAGATCCACTGTGCCTGATTCCTCCAAGAAGAGCTGTCCACAAACACCTTGATAATCACATACACCACCATTAAAATCATTTACCATATTCAGCTATTGGTGAAATAGAAGTTATGTTCACTAACTGGGTGTCGGGGTGGGCGTGGTGGTTTGTTGAGTGGTTATGGCCTCAGTTGGACTTGCTAAAGCATTGCCCGCACGGTTCTGTGGTTTATCTTTATAGATCACAACTGCAGATGGGAGAGGTGACTCTGCAAGGTTAACTTTTGTTTTTGGAGCAGTGGAGTTGAAGGCCGCATTTGTGCAGCTGGCCCTGTAGCAGCCCTGGATGGTGATTGGTTTAGGAATATTCATACAGAACAAGGGGCTGAGGGGCTCCGGCTTGGAGGGGCCCATGCAGGAGACAGCTCTGGACTGGATACCATATCCACAGGGGGCTGAACACTAATGGGTGAAACAACTTGAGGGTCAGAACAGGTCAGAGTGTCAGTAGGATCATGCGCAAACACAGGCAAGCTGTTGACACTGTAAACATGATTCAAGTGGACATAAAAATACAGTCATGGATCATTTTTACTGCCATCTAAAATGGAAAGGGTTTGTTTTAAACCCAAATAATGTGATGAGTATTTTTATGTTTGAAAATGGTCTTTTGGCTGTTTTGGGTGTGTCAGATAATTCATTTAGTCATTTTAGCTCTTCCAAAAATTATCGTAATGTTCACGTTTCAGTTCTGTCAGATGTACCTGGCTCCATGGCTTCACCTCCCACCTGTAGGTGCAGACCTGCACCAGGCAGGGTGCTGTAGTGGCCGGTTTGACCGCTGAGCGGCAGTTATGCTCCGACACCATGCTTTCTTTGCCGTGGATAAACTGAAGACAGGACACGTTTCTTTGAGTGATCCCCAGATCACAGGATGCAGAACAAGGTGACGTCCTGACTACCCTCCATCTGGACAAACGCTAGAGGTGAGATTACTTTTCCCTTTGCAGAAAAAAATCCAGTGTGTGTTTGTGTGGGATTTACTTTGCAGGACAGCTATGAGTATTACAGGCAACCACTGCTGTGGGCTTAGGAAAGTCACTGCAGTTGGAGTCACCCAGCACCACCTCCTCTCCCTCTACTTCTACAGCACAGTACAGCACCCTAGTGGCTACACCTCCTCCACACGTTACACTGCAGACTCCTTGCTTAGAGCGCCACCTAGTGCAAAATGTAATTCCTTCTTCAATTCCAAGCAGATTTGTACAGGTGCTGGCCAGTAAATTAGAATATCATCAAAAGGTTGAAAATATTTCAGTAATTCCATTCAAAACGTGAAACTTGTACATTATATTCATGCAATGCACACAGACCAATGTATTTCCAATGTTCATTACATTTAAATTTGATATTCATCAGTGACAACTAATGAAAACTCCAAATTTGGTATCTCAAAAAATTAGAATATTCTGAAAAGGCTGAATATAGAAGACACCTGCTGCCACTCTAATCAGCTGATTTACTCAAAACACCTGCAAAGGCCTTTAAAAGGTCCCTCAGTCTTGTTTTGAAGGCACCACAATCATGGGGAAGACTTCTGACTTAACAGCTGTCCAAAAGACAATCATTGACACCTTGCACAAGGAGGGCAAGACACAAAAGGTGATTGCTAAAGAAGCTGGCTGTTCGCAGAGCTCTGTGTCCAAGCACATTAACAGACAGGCGAAGGGACGGAAAAAATGTGGTAGAAAAAAGTGTACAAGCTCTAGGGATAACCGCACCCTGCAGAGAATTGTGACGACAAACCCATTCAAAAATGTGGGGGAGATCCACAAAGAGTGGACTGCAGCTGGAGTCAGCGCTTCAAGAACCACCACGAGGAGACTCATGAAAGACATGGGATTCAGGTGTCGCATTCCGTGTGTCAAGCCACTCTTGAACAAGAAACAGCGCAAGAAGCGTCTCGCCTGGGCCAAGGACAAAAAGGACTGGACTGATGCTGAGTGGTCCAAAGTTATGTTTTCTGATGAAAGCAAGTTCTGCATTTCCTTTGGAAATCAAGGACCCAGAGTCTGGAGGAAGAGCGGAGAAGCACAGAATCCACGTTGCATGAGGTCCAGTGTAAAGTTTCCACCGTCAGTGATGGTGTGGGGTGCCATGTCATCTGCCGGTGTTGGCCCACTCTGTTTCCTGAGGTCCAGGGTCAATGCAGCCGTCTACCAGGAAGTTTTAGAGCACTTCATGCTTCCTGCTGCTGACCAACTTTATGGGGATGCAGACTTCACCTTTCAACAGGACTTGGCACCTGCACACAGTGCCAAAACCACCAGCACCTGGTTCAAGGACCATGGTATCCCTGTCCTTGATTGGCCAGCAAACTCGCCTGACCTTAACCCCATAGAAAATCTATGGGGTATTGTGAAGCGGAGGATGCAATACGCTAGACCCAACAATGCAGAGGAGCTGAAGACGACTATCAGAGCAACCTGGGCTCTCATAACACCTGAGCAGTGCCACAGACTGATCGAGTCCATGCCACGCCGCATTACTGCAGTTATTGAGGCAAAAGGAGCCCCGACTAAGTATTGAGTGCTATACATGCACATTCTTTTCATGTTCATTCTTTTCAGTTGGCCAACATTAGAGAAACAAACATTTTTTCATTGGCCTTTAGAATATTCTAATTTTCTGAGATACCAGATTTGATGTTTTCATTGGTTGTCACCTATAAATATCAAATTTAAATGTAATGAACATTGGAAATACATTGGTCTGTGTGCATTGCATGAATATAATGTACAAGTTTCACGTTTTGAATGGAATTACTGAAATATTTTCAACCTTTTGATGATATTCTAATTTACTGGCCAGCACCTGTATGTCACTGCTCTGTATACTTTAAGCAAAAATGTGCATAATCTGCAGAAATCTTAAATCATGTAAAACGTGGTGTCTTACATAGGAGGACAGGGGGATGAGACACAGATCTCAGTGTGAGGATCAGGTTTGGTAGAAGCATCACAGTTGAAGTCAGGAACCCCCAGTCTGGTCTGGTGATCCACACAAGAGAACCACACCTGCAGGGTTCCTTCCATGCATTAGCATTGAGCTTTGTGTTATTACACGTGAGGAAGGTGGAAACCGTGATATTTGCATTAATATTAATTGAGACTCACCATTTCCACAGGTCTTTGAACACTGACTGACAACAGGACTCCACACAAACACACGAGCCTGTCTGGAGCGTGGTGTCATGTCAGCCCTTTGGATGGGCAGCTCCTGGTAAAGAGAGCCCATTTAAACTTGTGTGATATTTTGAAAATGTAATGAGCTTGTTTTATTTTACCTCCCTCTTAGATTCCCACCCAATGGGGCAAACATCTATGACACAGAGCACAAGATCAAGTGGTTTGATCTGCTTCAAACAAAAAGTTTGATCCACTTCAACCTCTTGTCCATCCTCTTGCCGAACACATGACACAACACGTTTTGCTTCTCCTGGTCCGCACACTGCAGAACAGTTTCCTGGCTCAGACACAGACCACCTGTGAACAAACAAAATGTATTTTCATTTAAATCTCAGTTTGGTGCAACAGAATCATACCACAAATCCTGTTAATTAAAGAAAAAGACACTAATAATAACCACAAACATCCACGTCAAACTATTTAACGATCATCAGCTGTACCTGGCAGGACAGTGTTGCATATTACACTTTTCAGCAGAGTGTGGAGCAGCGTCAGAGGAACATTCAGAGTCTTGAACAATCACCAACTCAGATCCTTGTTTTTGAACACATCGGACAAGACGGAGCCTCACTCCCCCTCCACAGGAGGCACTGCAAGCGCCAAAACTTCCTGCATCCCACCTGTGAAACAATAAATTATTCATGCATTCTCATCTGTGTGTGTGTGTGTGTGTGTGTGTGTGTGTGTGTGTGTGTGTGTGTTTGGGGAAAAAAACAAGACACAACAGAGCTGGGAGTGAAACTAACCTGGGGGGACATGCTGTTAGGTGACAGATTGTGTGGAGGGGGGTGTTTGGAGGAGGATCTTTACAGTGGTGCTGCTGCAAATGTATTTTATTTCCTTTGTCAACACAGACATGCACATTCTTCTGCACACCTGTAAAACAAGAAGTTGAAATAAAATGTCTCTGAAGTCAATATTTGGGCCATTATGGAAATTATCAGTAACTACTGTTTTACTCATTTTACTTTGCATACTGATGAGTTTGAATTGAAATCCAAAGTGCTTTGTTGTCATGTTAAAAAAATCCAGTCAGTTAATGTTTTATATCATAAGTCTTTGCACTGAAATTTAGGCAGAAATAATGACAAAACCACAGAAAACTCACAAAAATCACAGATGTTTGTCTAAACCATCGACATTAATATAGGTCTAAACAATGTTTTTCAGTGAAACCCGGAGAGAGACTTAAGGTTTTCCCTCTTTCGCAAGCCCCCATAATTCAGGTCTGAAAATGAAGCCAACATGGAAGTGCACTAGCTGAGCTTAGATTTTAACATGTACTGTTCAACCATGAAATTTAAATGTAATAGGGTAAAACCCAGCGCACTTAACAACGCTGCATTTTTGAAAATGGGTTGAAATATGACTCTAGTGGAGCTGGGTTCCGAGTATCGGTATGGTCTCCCTTCCCTCAGCAGCAGCTCGGCGCATCTCTGATCGCAGCGGCGCCTGTCTGCTGTGCGGGCTGCTGGCTTGTGGAGCACTCGGGAGACCTCTGTGTTCCACCCGGTTTTACCCAGCGGTCAGCCCGGCGTATCTGTGACTCAGAAGCTCTGGTGTTGTTCACAGGTAACTCCGGTTGTAGCTAGGTTGCTGCCTCCGTTAGCTAGCTCCCACCTCCACATTAGTTTTGGGTTAGCTTGTAGCTAAATCGCTTCAGTTCGACGGGTGTCGTCAGTTGATCCAAGCCTTTCAGCGCCACCTCTTTTCCCTTTTGTGGAATTGTCTGGGCGTGACAGAACCTGTGACACGGTCAAAATGGCGGTGGTGGCCACCTCCTATTTTGGCTTAAAAACTTATTATTGGAGCATATGGACACGAAGTGTCCAGTGTATATGTCGATGCTCTTTAGTGTAAAAAAATGAATCTGTTATTGTCAGTGTTCATGGTGAAGATATTTTACACTGCTGTCATGGCAACAGTAATGGCAGATTTCACAGCCACACATGCTACATCCTGAATTTTATAATGAAATATGGGGAAATTACTGCAATAAACATGTGGAGGCACAATGTAAAGCTAAAACGAATAAGTCCAATAAAATCTGCAATAGTGATTAATTCTATTATTCATGTATTTATTTCCACAGCATACATTTTGTTGATTTAAAGGGACTTTTCATTGGCTACTGGTGATTTTCAGTATGCATCCGGTAGAACGTTATTTACCTGATCCACAGGAAACAGAACAAGATGTTGTGTGAACAGCCCATGCACCTCGCATGGTGTCATCAGTCACATTACTGTTTCTGGCAGGAACATAAAACTCATAGCTGATGTTCGGATTTGTTTTGTCACCATATTCCTTTCCATATTTGCGATAGATCTGCAGTCATCAAAAGAATTACAAACACCAAATAGCTCTGCATCATGTTTAAAGTTCACATGACCTGTAAAGAGCATGTTTTCCTCTCCTGACCTGCATGTCTATCTCCTGTTTCAGTGGACCGGGCACAATCACTTCCTCCATCTCAGGTAAAAAGTCAGGGGTCAGGTAGAGGCGGTACTCCAGATGGTTCTCATCCAACACGGATGGATGGGTGACATTTACGGCTATGCTGCCTGCTCCCGACACAATGTACTGACCCCCAACCAGCACAGCTGCAAAACAACCCTCGGTTTTAAGCATTTATTAACATTATGTTGTAGAAATTAAAATCTCGTGTGCAGGGATATTGATTACCCAAATGAGTAAATAGCGGTGCCTTGTTGATGATGTGAACCTGTGTGGCATTCACTGGCAGAGTCAGAAAAGTGGTGTACTCTTGTTTGGAAAAGAGAGAAAGAATGTGTGCAGTTCAGCTGCATTCAGTTATCCATCTCATCACAGAGAGAGGAGCTGTAAGTGATCAAATTATTGTCACCTTTAGCCTGACCACCTCTGTAGGAGTCAGATGTCAAACTGCAGGTTGACCCATCTCCATCACACACTCCGCACACATCCCACACTTTTCCAGAATGCAGCACACCATCACAGCCAAACAGCTGATCAGGGACACAAAACACAGTGTAAAAATGCACAAGAGACATCCCTAATCTACTTCTATAGCTTTCTATTATTGTTACCTGGCATCTGCCCTGTAGACAAGCGGCTGTTGTTCCAAAAGCAGACCTGCTGTCTGACTCACAACGTGTTCCATCCACAAAGTGAGAGCCACGACTCACCATGAAGCTTTCTCCATCTGACAGGCACATGTATTTGCACTGCTCATCCCCTGGTCATTACCATCAACAGAAAAGAAAAGCACACTTTAAACCAAGACCTCAAACATCAGAATGACATTTTCCATGCTTTTACCTTTCACAAAGCCGAGAGCAGGGATCCATTTGTAGAAAGAGGCCATTTTTGGTTGCAGGTAGAGAGGGATGGAGTCTGTTTGGGAACACTGCTCTGCCATGAAGTCCTGCTGAGTGTCCTCACAAGGCTGCAGCAACATGAGTAGGACAATAAATGCAAGAATGACTCTGACTACAATGATGTTGAACCACTGTAAGCAGAAAGAACTTACCTGCTGGTGGCAAAGTTCAGCCTCAATGTCTGAACCATCACAGTCATTGCCTCCAAAAGCAGGTCTGGAACATTATGACAGCTTTCAACAGAACAAGTGTAACAAAGAAGGTTTCATTGCTCGTGTAACGTGTTACCTCGGGTTATTGCATTGTCGTGCACGGAGTGTCACTCCCCCACCACAAGTCCGTGAGCATGAGGAAAACTCGGACCAGCTGGACCAGGAGCCATTGACAACAACTGAGGAGCCAATATCATCTGGAGACACACACTGTCCCTTTAGACACCACTGCAAGACAGGATTAGAAACACACCAGAGTTGACTCCTGAGGACAGTTATCACAACAAAAATGGATTCCATCAACAAACTGAAACCTGGTTAGGAGCACATTCTGTGCCATCCAGCAGAGGAACCAGGAGGCGCTTGCAGGATCTGTCGTCATCAGGTTCAACATGGCAGGACAGGATACGACAAGCCGGCTGACAGGAGACAAAACTCATGAATGAACATGTGGAACTCACATCTGGCATCATCGAGTTGTAACAGGGCGTACCAGGTCAGGACTTGTGAACGAGCATGCTCTTGCAGTGCTGCCAAAAGCTATACGACACTGGTCATCAACACCGTAATACAGGCCGGGCTTCCAGTCTTGTAGGGAACCTCTGAGTTCAGGCAAGTCCTTCACACACTCTGCTCTCCCTTCTCTGGGAATACCAAGGCACTTGATATCTCATTCCCAAAAATCTTAAGCAACATTTCACGCATCTATTACTTATATTTAGAAATCAGGTCAAAGATATGGTCAGTGAAACATCTGGCCTGAACTGGTTCACCTGAAGAACATGAAAAGCTGCTGCCTGCTGCAGGGAGACCAGGTCAGATCCACGCTGTTGTAGCCTCCATCAGACGCCATCATGAAGCCGCTCCGGCTGCAGATGTTTCCAACGCCGTCGTGGTTGATTCCAAAACTGGATGTTTGGCAAATCAGGTTTGACAAAGCAAACTGAAGATTTGAAGATGCTTGAAAGTGTGTTGATTTTGTTTCAGGTTATAGAATAATTCATGTGAAAGCTTATCATCTTTCTTAAAGTATTCTTTGAAATAAACTTTAGATTTACAAAGTGAAATTTATTATTTATTTATTTACAAATTCACGGACAAGCTACAATAAATACGTCATCAGAATTTGTTTTAATTATATCAGTTCTATTTTTTTAATTTGTTTTATATTTGTGCTCCTCCACATCGAGAGGAGCAAGTTGAGGTGGCTCGGGCATAGGATGAATCCTGGACGCCTCCTTGGCAAGGTTTTCTGGGCACGTCCGACCAGGAGGAGGCCTAAAGGGAGACCCAGGACTTGTTGGAGGGTCTATGTCTCTCACCTGGCCAGGGAACGCCTTGGGATTCCCCCGGAAGATGGGGTATGGTGGTTTTACATGTTATCCTTAGCCGTAAGTTTTATTGTGTTGTTATTATTATTATTATTATTTGCTTTACTTGTTCTTTGTCATTAGTGTTTAATCATAAATTAATTCATTTTTAAACAGATCCTGGAGGCCCTAGATTGTTTATTGACTACAGTGATTTACCTGTGACCAAGTTCATGAGCGATGGTGATGCCCAGATCGAACCCTGTGTCCTCAGTAATCACACAGCTCCACTCGCTGGAACAAACCCCACCCAGCTGCGTCACTCCCCTGACCTGCTTGTTCCCATCAAGCAGCTCCAGGTCAAACCTGACGATGATGGCAGATGTGCAGCATCATGTTATTTGTGTGCAAAAAAAATACAGCTATTTAAAGGTCATTTGAATCCTGCGGGTTATGGTACCTTGTAACATACAACAAGAGATCAGCATGCAGCGGATCTGTGTCGTTAGAGGGGTTGATCCTTCTGCCCCAGTCGCACACACTTCTCAGAGAAGATGTGATGTTGGAGGACATTTGGATCTCTGGCTGGAAGAAATGTAAAGAATGAGATAATCACAGCTGTGACTTTTTGAATGTTTATTTAAGTAACTTGAGCAGAAACTGCATAAAATATTTATTTTCACCTCTGGCTCTGAAAGGATAACCATTCGAACCAGGTGCACCCTCATGTTGGCACCCAGAGTCGTGTCTCTCAGCAGCTCTGAGGCCTGTATGGGTCCATGTCAGAATCAGATGATCACATCTCATTCTGCTGACACAAACTAATTGGACTAAAATACCACAGTTACCAGTGGAGCATGTTAGAAAACCTTTCACAACAAATTTCACAACATCTAAACAGATTTCCCCCTCTAATGTGTTTTTTCCCCCTCAGAATTTCATTACTTATTGATCGGTCCTTGAAGCGATCTCCAAACATAGCTCGCCCTACATTTCATTCCCCTACTCATGAAATCACTTAGAAAAACTTATTTTTACTATATGTGTGTGCTCATACTTACAATGTTGAGATTAGTGAGAATGTATTTCTCTGTATCCTGCTTGTGAACCTGCTGGACATCAGGTCCTACGACCACCATCAGCTCCAGATGTGTTACATCAGGCAGAGTTGAGCGACGCAGACGTTCGCTCACTGTGAGTAAGAAAATTGTTCAAAAAGTCCTAATAAAAATCCTTTTAGTGAATATTTGGTAATGTTCATTTGCTTTCATATTACACACACCTGACTGGTCAGCAGAATATCCTGAAGACAAAACAGTATTTCCTGAACCGATGGAGAGGTTATTAAGCTTCTAGGGGGAATGAACAACAATGATTCAATTAAAAACCTGCAGGTTCGACATTTCCAGTGAGAGCTGAGATGGATGAAAATATGATTGATAGCTTTTTACTTCATATGAATCCAGCAACATTTTATCACCCTGTTTTCTTTTGCTTCTACGAGTAGTGAAATCTCCCTGGCAGGTTAACAGTTTAAAGTTGAAGAGTTCATTGCACCTTGCAGGACTCGGGCGGTGGAACCACTCACCACAGCAGAGCTCCTGTTTGCCTGCAGCTTTCCACCTACCTCAACCTGTTGATATCCCATTAGAGCGCTGACGCCAGGCAGCAGGAGCACCAGACAGGACAGAGTCATAAAAATCATGTTTGCCTTCCTTCTGTTGTCTACCTGCTCCGATTTGACACCATGCAGGACAGCATGTGATTCTTTGTCTCACGCAGGACCGAGCAGGGCCATGAGTGCACGAGTAACATGTCTGTGTAAACAGCAGGGACAAAGTTGATGTGTCACGTGTCTGTCTTTTCCTTTTTTTTTTTTTTTTTTTTTTTACTTTATTTTCACTTTTTCAGACCGTTGCAAAAACTGGTTTCTGACTGTGTGAAAGTTTAGGCTTTGAGTAAAATCCATGGATACTTTTTACATTGACAGCTTTTCTTTTGGTGATGTGATAAAAATCAGTGGTTTATGTTTGGGTTTGGTAAATTATTGCCTTTACTTAATTTAATAATTTAATAATTAATTTCCTTTCCTTGCCAGACTATCACAAATACTTCAGGGTGCTGCTGCCTGTTGTGGCCTTTAGAGGGCAGACATGATTCTTCAGCTGAAAAATAAAAATAAATGGCTAAAGGAAAAAAATGAGACATGAGTTCACCAAGTTAAAACTGCTGAGCACATGTCTGTGTGTCATACATACATGTCATAAATGGAGTCCCCTTTATGACAACAGGAAAGCAAATAGAATAGACTTTATTAATCCCACACAGTGGGGAAATTCACTTGCTACAGCCGCATAAACACAGAGAAAAGGAAGAGGAAAATAATAAGATTACAGGTAAACACAAATATAAATGGCCATTTAGTCTTTCAGTGATTAATTCAATAGATTTCATCCTTAAAAATAGAAAAAGAATTTTCCTTGAGTTTTGTCAAGAAGGTACTCAAAAATAATCAAGAGTGTATTTTACATGTTTAAGGATTTCTTCTACTCGAATCCACTTGTTTCCTTCCCCAATAGGATGTAATTTCTCTCCATGGCTTTAGGATTCAAACCCCATCAGCCAGTTGTTCACTAGAAATCTGCACGTTGTCAGTCTGAATTAACTGCTGGTTGTCGTGGGTAACAGCATCACTGTTCAGCCAAAACCTCAACCCCCTGCCGGATTCACCAGACACACTTAAGTGTTTGTGTATCTTCCCATCCATGCATCCCTCAGAGCCGGGTGAGGATTGTATATTTATGATATCCTAAATTATATATAAGTAGCCATATGGAGTCCTCAAGATGATGCCTCGGGAAATTATTGTTTGGTTGCCATTTCTGATGAAAGGAAGTAAGACAGAAAAGTCAGCTCTTTTAGCTTTGGTAACATTTAACGTCCTTGCTTTTTCCTTTTCTTCTACCGTGAAATTTATAAATTAAAATTCCCCCAAATGGTTTGTCAATTAATTTCAACCTTTTGGCTAGATGCTTGATTAACCAGGATTTTCATAATGAGACCAGACCGCTCAGTGTTCCATGGTTTGAGGTGCACTTATTTGGAGAGCCTTGGATTTGTGCATAATCTGCTCATCTGCTGCTCTTCGTCATTCTGTTCATTTATTACAATCACTGTGTAAAACAACAACTTAATGAGACTGCATGACATATTTGTTTTTGTATTACCATATAAATAATATGCATTTACATTAAAAGTGTCACTTCCTTCTCCGTTTATCCGCGGGCAGCAGAGGATAAACGGAGAAGGAAGTGACACCACCAACAGTGGCGAGCTCTGAAGAAAACTGCAGGAGCGGTTGAAAATGTCAGAAAAAAGAAGATAAAACAACCCTTTTCTGAGTTAAAAAGACCAAGTACTGCAGTTAGAAGAAACAGAAAGAACGCACAAAAGAAGTTGACAGATGCGTTTAGAAATCATTCTTATGAAAAAAATGATTGAATCTCTTGGTTTCATTCTGCTCATACCACTTTACAATAACGGTCCCTTTAATAGCATTATGAAGCATCTCTTAAATAAAGAATAACTGCTTGATATTAATGTTAATATTTAGTACTAGGCAGACATCTCCCTGGCCCTTTGTTCCAACCTTAAGGACACTTATAGTTAACAATATCAGGAACATTAATAAAGGGATCTTTTGTTTATTAATGCTTAATAAGGCACTGAGTAACATAAATAAAATTACCCTTATTAAGTGTTACACATTTGCTGTTTAAAATTAGGTGTGTGACTATTTATAAAACCAGAGTCAGATATTAAATCAACATTATGGCTGGGCATAAAAATACCACTAAAATGATCTGATAGCATTTTTTTTGTATTTGTTTAGGCATTAGCATCTCACTCTTAAATATGGGATAAGCTTTAAATGCTAGTCTTTCCTTTCAGCTGATCTGATGAATTGCTTGCTGCCTCCCTGTGTTTCTCTACAAATCAAAACAAATACTGGGTTGATCCTACATTGTCACTCCTCATGACTTTTCAGGCTGTAATATATTACCAAGGGTGCTGAAACTCAATGGCACAGAAAAGTATACAGCTCTTTTCCACATTGTGGCTTTCTTCCAGTGTACCCCCCAGGTGTTCAAGCATATGTCAGCACATCACACTGATGAAAAGATGCCGCATTTAATGATGCCCCGCTGCTGATGAGCTAATGATCGCAGTATGCTTCCTGATAAAAGGACAATTATTCAGTCACTGCACAGAATGCTTTCTGGAGGAACCACTCCAGTTTGTGCACCAGTAATGAAATGTTGGGAGAAAAGGCATCACAACTGAATAAAACTATGGATGTTTCCTGATTTATGAAAGTAAATCAACATTGCAAATTAGAGTAAAATGGAGTGGGAGTCACATGAAACCAGTTTTCATTATTGATGTGCAGAGTTCTTGAAGCTACAGTTTTAAAACGAGCGTGGGATGACCTAAAATGTGCTGCATGTTCTCTCGAGCTTTCTACAAGTGACACAGCTACAAACAAAAAGGAACATAAATAGTGCCCTGA